GTAAAGAAATTTTCACTTTGATTGAATGAATTAAAAAAAAAAAAGATTTATGCTTTTACACACTCGATCATTTGTTCTGTCGTCCAGGGGGAAAACATCTAGATTTTTTTTTCTACTTTTTTTTTTTTTTTTCCAATTGTGCTGGGGTAAATCAAATACTGTTCAAACTATTCAACGTTGTACTGATTCAGTTTCTCTCAGGGCGCCTAGAGCCCGTGCCTCTGAACACCACACTGTGAGATGCAAGCGGAAATAAACCGCTCATGAAATCATGGCGATCTCCTCATAACTTGAAGACCTGGCTGCTCCAGTGTACAGAGCCAAAGAAGCACATTCTAGAATGTACCGGGACATATAGAAATATACCTTATCTCCCTATATTCAAACTCACGTTTCCTCCCACCTGAATAACTACTGCCTGAGGTTGTCCCGATTATCAAGCCAGACAGCAAGTCATTTAGTAGGCCCTGTTCCAGGCCCATATGGGGCTCCAACCTTTCGCCTTGCACGAATTCAACCAACCCATCTCTGCTTACATCAATCGTGGTCCCAATTCAGGTCTACAGAATCCCTGTGCCTCTGCCCTGTGTTTTTTCTTCAGTTTTACTCTAAGCCCTAAATTAGCCTGTCTTCTTTCTCCTGGGTGGCCATCCCGTTTTCTAACCTGGAATCTTTTTTTCTCTATCCTCTGGTCTTTTGTTCCTCTGTTCCACCCTGCTGCCTGAATTCATGGGGGAGGAATGTCCTTACACCTCCAGACCTGTGTGCTTGTCAGCAGAATCCTAGTTGAGGACCCTTGGTTAATGTAGAACATGGAGAGAAGTCGGCAGCCGGCAAAAAGGGATGTATAAAGAAGGAGGGAAAAAATGGAGGTATTACTGAATAAGGGAAGAAAATAACTAACCTGTTACTTTTCTCATCCAAAACACGTATCTGCTCTCCAGACTCCAACTCTGACTTAATTCCTAAATGAAAAACTTTTAAGAGCCCCTGCTCAAGAGTTTTCAGAATAAGTCTGGATTCATGTTTCTACTTTTCTAGTATGTGTGCCGTGGCTGACTGAGTAGATTTGGGGTTGCCTGAAGAGGTCACTGAGTGCATGCTCAGCTTGAAACAGTTTCAGACACAACCACTTCAGAGAGGTGAGAGTTCTCTAGTTTTTAAAAAGACCACTTCAGAAGAACAAGCTAGAGTCTCATTAAATAGACCATTCTGATGACTAAATCTCCCCTTGCCAAAAGGAGAGTCAAGACTACATGTCTCCTGTAAGTCTAACTTACATTCTCCAAGCCGCACGTTGAATCCTTTGTTTTGAGGCCAATTCATGGCTGCAGGGCTGCTCTCCCTCCTGGCTCTGTCTCCTTCTCCCCAAACTTATACACAAACCTAGAATGTTCCTTCCACATTGAACAAAGCAGTGAGGTGTGAAGCCATTACTTGCTTATTCTGGGAGTGACTCGCCAATCAGTATATCCTCACACCCTCATCACAGGGGACTGATTGCCACCATTCCCATCAATTTGTTTGTTAATATGGTCTGTTATCCTTGTTGAGATTAGATTTGTCTAAAACTGAAGGATGTCAGTGGTCATAACAGCTCACAGCTTTCCAAAAGCGTTCCTTGTCTCCTTCTAAAGCAGACGCCCTTGTAATCTATTATTAGCAAATAACTTTCCACCTTTATTTTTTTCATCTTTTAGCCTCTCACCATTTCTCCTTAAAATTTCAACAGCGACAGCTGGCTCAACTTGAACTTGGTCAGGTGGTGCTGCCCGGCACCCTAACTCAGTCCTTCGGTCTTGCCCTATTCTAACGAGTTCCTCCTTTCTCTTCTGGCTGTTTTCAGTGTGCTTATTCTTTGGACCTTTTTTTTTTGTTGTTGTTAAGCAAGAAGTCCTTTTTCTATCCTTGGTGTTACAAGGTCATCTATTCTCTCCCTTTTCCCAACTGAAGCTCCAATAGGTTCCTTTACCCTTCTCATAAATCTCTGAAATTTCTGTCTTGCACACATTGCACTTCTTTTTCTGTCCTTTTTACTTTGTCTTTGCTACTCTGACATGGGTTCAGTTGCTACTGCTCCCTTCAAAAGAGGAAACTGAGGCTCAGAGAAGAAAAGCCTTGCCAGAAGCTCCAGGCCAGGGAGGAGGGGCCTGGGCCTGTCCCTTCCGAGGTGTGCCTTACCCACACGGCAGTCTCCGACCCTGCTGCTTGCCCTGCTCTTAAGCAACTCCACTTCCTCCTGCCGGGCCCATGGCTTCTGTCCCCAGGGAGGGCTGTCTTCTCATTTCCTGCTGTGCACTCTTAACAGTCCTTTGCTCCGATGACTTATTCCCATGGAATAATTTGATGAAATACGGCACCCAGTTTATTTCCTTTACCCACGAATTTCCTTACCTTTTTATATTGTTTCCTAATGTTCTCTACACACTTGATTTATTGAATGCTATACACTACAAATTAATGAACAGCCCGTCGCCACATAAGAAAGCCAGCTGGTTTCCTTCCAGAACCTTCGAGGCCGGTCTCTAATGCAGCTCTGTAAAGAGCCCACTCTTCCCTCCATGTCTCCTGGACGCTCGAGTCTTGTGAGATCCTCTCCCTCCCTCACTTCCTCTTCTCAAGCCCGTCCTTTGTGTGGTGCCCAGTGTGTCGTGCAGACCTTCGTATTTTTTGCTTTCTTTGCAGTAACCCATCACTCCTACAGCCCCCAGCTCCACTGAGAAGCATCCATTCTCCCATTCTCCTAGATCGTCTCAGTGCCCAGGTCACATGGCTGTCCCTGCCCGTCCACAGGGCTGCATCAACTGCTATTTACAAGCCAAGCAAAGAGGTTTTCTAGGGCTCTTTAATTTCACAATTCTGAAGTCATATTTTCTCAACTTCATCCTGAAGAAAACGTAGACTAAAAATCATGTCAAACATGATAAAGGACAGGGTCAGGGCCTATGGGCAATGACAAACCTGCCCCTGACTCCAAGGTGATGCCTGTGCTGGGTGCAGCTAGGACGGAGGGCAGGATTCTGAACCAAGAGACACAGCTCTGGGAACCTGTCAGTAATGCCAACCAGGTGCTGGGTGATCTCCCATCCAGGAAAACCTACCAACAATGTGAAGTCCATAAGGGACAGGATACTGACACTGTTTTGAAGGCATGTGTGCTAGTCTTCACTCTCCAGGAATCAGCCTGACTTTCAGTTCTCTAAAGGATATGCCCCCAGCCACCATGGCTCACAGCCTCTAAGGGCAGCTGCAGGGATTCCAGGGAGAACCCATCTCTTTCTCCAAAGTGACCCGAGCGAGCATCCTCACTCTGACATCCAGATTCTCATTTACATGGTTAGCGGGTCATTTATTCTGGCTCAGTCTCTGAGCCTCTCTGTATTCTCAGGCAGGGTGTGAGCATCTGTTTGCTCCTGTGTTAAGCAGGGAGAACAGTACCCTTGGCGCTGGGTGCTTCAGGGACTAAACAAGTCAGGTAACATCACCCTCCAAATGGCTATTCCTGCGCCATTTTTGCAAACTTTTATCATATCTATGTACTACTAGTGACTTAATGTTTTCATTTCATTTGATTTTTTAACTTATATAAATGTGTTTTGAAAGGAACCCTTGTAACGGTACAATGTATGGTAAAACCAGTATCACTTGCAATACACAGAAGATAATCTCAAAAATAAAAACCTAAGTTGAAATCAAACATAATCATTTGCATCCCAACGTTGGAAAACCCTGAAATGATATATGTATCTTCCTTGGGTAGAATACAGTGGATGAGCCACAAGTTCATTTCTCTTCCCCTCTGCTTTCCCGTTTAACATAGTCATTTTCCTATAGGGTAAAATAATTCATAAATGTACTTGTTTTCTGGATTCATCTACACCAAATGGCTTTAGCCACTATCTTTATCTGTTTGTGTCATTAACTGTACTGCTGAGTTTAAAAAAAAAAAAAGAACCATTATACCTAGTCTACTTGGTTTCTAATACACATAAAAAACATATAAAGTATGTTTTCTGTACATGTAGATAAAATTCTCAGTGATTGCAATTTCCCATTATTGCACTAGTATGTCCTATAGGCAGACAGTGAGGTGATTCGTATAAGCATGGGAATTTTACATACACGTTCCCTCCTTGGCTATGGGAGCTTATGTAGCTGACCCACACTGATCCAGTCTACCTCATTTTACCTTTGTGTCCTTCATGATACTCTTTTGTGTCAATAGGTGGCTCTCAGTATCACAGCTTTTTCTCTTTCGAAAGAAGAAAACAGGTATTCCAAGGAAGTGTTGACTCATTAGCGCATGAGAACATGGTATAACTGAATTTCTGACTAGTCTTTGAGTCAGAAGTTCGGTTCACTTCTGACTCTGTCATTTGACCTTGGTTAATTAACTTTTCTCAGTCTTTGATTTCTTGAAATAAAGAGGGTGGGTGAAGCGTTCCAAACACAAACTGTTGCATGTCTAATTTAGCCAGTGGACTTGCAGATGATGGTTCCATACATACGTTTTTATGGAAAAGGTGTGTAACTCTGTGCTAACTTAGATTTTTTTTCTAACATTTAAAAATTACCATTTATGAAACTTTCTATTTTCAGTTAAATCTGAAATTTAAGAACTAGGGATTAGAGGGATAGCACAAGATGGCCAGATGTGGCTTCTTCTAACCCCAAACACTGAAGCACTGTTGCCAAAACACAGTCCATAAGATTCGATATTCCTGAAGGGGCAGTGAGGAACAGGGGACAGTAACAGAGACGCATCCCTGGGGAAGACTGCTCCTCAACTCGGACATTTTATGGGGTGTGTGTGGCTCTCATGGTCATGCTGGCCTGTGAGTGTCCATCCTCCCGCATACTAGAGAACCCTCATCCTGCCGACTCTGTGCCATATTTCTCTAATATGCCAGTTGGGGGAACACAATGGATAAAATGACTTGCATCCAAATACAAAGAGATAAAGGTTTCACAGGCATGGAGGCGGCCGGTGACCCACTTACCCACAACTCTGTCACTCTTGGAGCTTTGCTGTCCTCCCGAGGTGGTGGAGAGGTCCTCGGGGATCGGCATGGGCTCATCGCCCTCATCTGGAGTATCACTTACAGGGGGGCTTTCCTTCCCTGAGGATAAAGAAGGAGCTTGAGTCTGGGTCATTCATTGTCAAGGTGCCTGGGCTTCCCCTTGGCTTGGCTTGAGAGGGTGGCATGAGGGGGCAGGTACTGGGTGGAACCAGTGCTTTCTCTGCTGAGATACAAACACCTTTTTCTTTTTGTAAAAAAAAAGTCACTGCTCCCCACACAAAACAAATGAGAGAACCCAGATGTGCAAAAGGGAAGAAATAAAATAACCTGTAATCCCAGACACTGCCACTCTTAAAATCACCTCTATATACTACAAATAATAAACTAGATTTTAGACATTCTCAGAAACATATTTCCAGCTAGGGGCCATATTTCCATAGTTTGATTTATAACGGGTACACTAGGATTTATTTAAATTCTTTTCCTATTTTTGAGCTCATATTGTGTTTTTTTTTATTATTATTAAACAACACTGTAATGAACATCCTAATAGCCAATCTTTGCTCAAATCCCTAACAATCACCACAGTATAAATAGCTAGACGTTCTATCACTGCATCAAAAGGCATCTACAGTTTTAAGGCTCTCCCTTTTGTCAACTTCCCCCTGTAAGCTCGTTCCAATGAGCTTGTTGTGCCATACCCTCTTGTCAATTTGTGTTTGACGACACCACAGTGGGTACGCTGCTTAGAGCCATACATCCTGCTATCTGCTCACTTTCTTTTCAAGCACCAGGGAATATCTTACCAGCTGCTTAGTTAGACTTAACTTGGTGGGGAGAAGACGACTGGGCAGGGAATGGAAGGGAACCCCATGCCCACTGGGAAAATGACCCCCTCTGCATGCAAAGGGAGTCGGCCAACACAAATTCTTTTCTTTGAAATAGGAAAATAAAACACAATCCACATAAATACAAAAATTGCTTATACTAGACAAAGTAGGATTTAGAAAATGAAACTGGGTTTTACAGAATACCTATATTTATTTTGACTGGATTAGAATTAAATTGGAGCAGAAGCTCTGGCAACGTGGGATCACTCCTACTCCGAGGAATCCAACCTTCCTCGGGAAGCCATGACTAGCAGAAAATGCTTTTTTTTTTTTTTTCCATTGAAGCTGCAACTCCTATAGTTTCTGCCCTTCCAATCTAACTTAAACTTGAGGTGCGACACAACCCACATGCAAGAAATAGATGATGTGAACTAATGCTGCATAGCTAGGTGTGGAAGACCGTTTTAGATGAAGGTCCTGAAGAAGTCTAATGAAATGGCAACAGCCTGGCAGTGTGTGTCTGCTGACTGAGCTAGCAACAGACAAAATGACATGAACACATAGACAAAGCTAGATTTTTAAGAGTGTGTGCAAGTGATAAACCAAATATTAAAATGTCTGAAAAATATGAGTAGGTACTGTGTGCAATGTCCTTGCTTGTTTGAATAAACCTCCCAGAAGAGTAACACCAGCATTTCAGTTGACTGGCAAGACCAGTAAAATCATCCTTGGTATATAAAACAACCCTTACTGGAATATTTAAAATAGAACCTACACAGGCACCAAGCCTATGCTCTGGGGAATACTACTTCACTCTCTAGAAAACAGGCATCACAATTTAATATTCCAGCTTAACTGTAATTACCACAATTGGCATATTTTCAGAAAGAGCATTATTCGGTATATTTAGATAGCCAATACAAAATAAATAGTTAAAGATGGAGCAGGATTATGAGAATTTCCCAAGGAAAAACAAAGGCCAGAGAGACACTGATTGAATGTCCTCGTGTTATGTTAAAGCCTTGGAAATGTACATTAAGTCATTACTATTTTCATGCTATAAATAGAAAAATTTTAAAGTGACAATTGCTAGATATCTTAAGTATTTTCACCTCTTTCATAAATGGGGAAAAACTCCACATAGGAGAACGCAGGAGGTATATGAATCACCTGACAACTCTTATTTTTGTGTAAGATGACTTCCTAGAGCAATGATTTTCAAACTTCTAGGACTTTAGGAATCTTTTTTCTGTGGGGGTGGGGGCAAGGGGTAAGAATAACAAAATAATCTTACACAGAACTGTGCTATACATAACAGGTCTTCTGTGTAAAGTGGGAACCTTGCAATTTGGGGAGGCAGGAACCTAGGCTGAGAAACTAAACTTTATTGACTCTTTTCCTCCAATGGCTTTTCCTTGTGATCATGCTGGAGCACTGAAAGATTCCTTCAGACGCCCTTAGGTGCATGATGCCCTGGAGCCAAGAGAGGATCATAAAGAATCAGGAGTTACCCAGTGAAGGAACGCCATCCTTTCTGCTCAGTGCATGCTAAAATACATCCAAATAACTCCTACTTTTTCCAAAAGAATTAAATGCTGTGTCTATGAGAGAAGAGGATCACCTACAATTTGTTGAGGATGGTTCATAATAACAGGGGTGCTTCTTAAGAATTACATCTGCCTTCGGTTCCTGCACTGAACTAAATGTCAGTGTTCCACCGTCCCTGATCTTCCATCTCAGGACATTTATTTTTTTCAACACAGGGGAGGCAAAGGAATAATGAAACAGTAGGGATCACAATTCCAAAATACCATGGGTCAGACTGATCAATAGAAACTCTCTATGCAGAAGAAACCACATGGGGAGAAGGGAGAATAAACAATCAGCTTTGGTACATATAGTGGCATCTAGTAAAGAGTCGGAACTGGATGGTCATGAAGTGAGATATATTCACATGCTCACCAAGGGCTCTGCGTTAATTCAAGCTCGCCTTGCCTCAACTCAGTGATAGTTCTTAAGAGGTTGTCTGATTTGCCTAAAAGCTCCAAAGTGTGAGTCCAGGCTGCTGAGACTTTCATCCCTCACGTGAGCCTCTGTACCCAGGGCCCCTCATCGTCTGTGACAGCTGAGGATCTCCATGATGAAAAGTTATCACTACATGAAACCTGTCATAACAGGCACAGTATTTTTATGCATTGACTTTAAATGAATTTGTCTGGTTAACCATTTAAAATGTAAAAGTATGCAAAGGTTAAAAAACACTGAAAAATAAATGATTAAATCAAGCCAACACATCTCAAATACTAACACACAGTGACTAGAAGTTAGTTGACCCAGGACATAATTCTGGCTTTTTCTGGCTTCACTGATTAGTTGTAAGACCAATGGGAACATGAGACTGGTCACCTTTTTAAGACTCATTTCCTCAAGTGGAAAAAGGAGGCTGAAAAACATGATTTTCATCTATATCACAGGGTTGCGGTAAAGATAAAATAAAAATAATGTACATGGATTCTAATATGCTAAGTAAGCTTATGGCATTATTTGGTAAACTATGTGCACAGAGAAACATAAGGCATATATTTCACCAAGCTCCCAGCAAACACACAGAGATGAAGATAGCAAGACATCAAGTGTTTAAACAGAATAATTTAGAAGATGCAATACAATTCACTTATTCAGAAAAACGAAATAAACTTCTGGCTAAATTATAAAAATACAAATTTATGTTTAACTTACCTATGGCCTATGTTTCAAATAAAGCATTACCTATGACAAGTGTTTTGGGAAAACTGAATGAGATATTGTACAATTAGCTTATAAACTGTAAGCAAATAATTTCATAAGTAGATTATAATTCACTTCACAAAGTTCTGTGATCTGCCCCCCCCCACAAATGCATGAGGTTTTATTATATACAATTGCCCAAGGGGCCATAATTCCTTGGGTAAATACAAGGTCAAAATACAGAATCTCCACTCTATAAAGTAGTGGAGGAGCTTGAACTCTAGGGTCCAAGTAGGGCTCACACCCCAGAGTCATCTCTGACTCCCTACTGGACTTGTGGTCAGTTACTTAAATTCTCTGGGTCTCAGCTCCCTGCAAGTTGGAGATGATAACTTTGTTTTCTTCTGTGGGACTTTGTGAGTTTGAAATGAGAAAACACTTCGTGTAATGTTTGCTAAATACAAAGCATTCAATCAAAGTGATTTACTATGCTTAACTAGATTGAATATTGCCATTGACACTGTAATATATACAAAAAGTCTTTATTGAAGCAGATTATATATATCTAAGGGTGTACTTCTGGCTTCTACATCCCAACAAAACTACAAATAGCATTAAGTAAAATTCCAATATGTATTTAGGGTCAGAGGTGCCAGAGGAACCTGAGAGATCAACTGGCTCAAGTCCCTCCTGTTACAGATAATACTACAGCGGTCCAGGAGGCAAAGATAACTGTCTCAGTTCCCATTGTGGGAGGCAGAGATGAGATGCTGACGCAAGTCTCTTAGCTCCCATATACTTCACTTTCCCCTGGCTGACTCTTTCTTTAGAAACCAAACCAAAAAATAATGCATAGTTATAACACATATTTTGGAAAGATGGCCAAAAACACAAAGAAAGGAAAAATATGCTCTACCCAAAAATTAGTGAGCTGTGTCCTAAAGGGTACCCTGCTTTAGATATTCTCTCCTCCAAGTCTATCAATAGCATTTCTCAATACCCTGTGGATTCAAGTCACTAAACACTTACGGAGTGTCTGCTACTACACATCTGCAAGACGCAGTAAGCCAGGACACAGCCCACATTTAGGATAAATCTCAAGGAACAAAGAACCCAGTACTTTGAAAAAAACCCCCCAGATATTAAGCCTTTATCTGTTTATCAAGCATTTCACATATATTAGGTTGAATCCTATGAAATTGCTGATACTTAAATATTTTATGGGAAAAGAGGATGATTCAGTAACATATTCCTGAGATTTCTTATCAAGAATATTAACTCCTATTTGGTTAAATGTACATCCTTATGCCATAGCTGTCACTTATTCCAACTTTAGAAATGAAAAAACAAATACTGGTTTTAACTGGAGAAGCAGAGACGAAACTCCAAGAAGTAGAAAAAGTATCCTTTAATTCTTTCTAAAAGTGACATGACTCTTTGAGTGCTCTCATCACTATGTAGAGTACTCAAAGGCTAACAGAAATCAAAAGTACCATGAGTGTTTTAGAAATAAGAATCCCTTTGGTAAGTGCATACAAACTAAATTTCAGACCAAATCATTACCAACAAAAAAAAGAGTCTCCTTTTTCAGGAAGTCTTGTGTAATAAGGCCTCCATTCTTATCCCCACCCCAGCCACTCTATCCTTTAAACAGTCAGAGTGCAGAAAAAATTACTTATTTTGTATAGTGGTAGGGACAAGAAAACCACCAGAGGAAAATCAGGCTTTTGTTAGTTTTGTTACTAAGACCTGAGATCAGAATATTGAGCGGCTATTCCTTATAGAGACATTCTAGAGATAAATCCCTAGGCGTCAGCATTAAGCTTTGACTCTAGAATATCAGAGTGTAGATCCCTGCATTGGCTGAAGGGGTTTCATTTTCTTCAAATACACCACGCAAAATACCAATTAGAAGCTACCCAAAGTGAAAGTGACACAGAAAAGCAGAAAAGCAGAAACAATGAAAGCATCTTTCCGCCTCTGGAAATCTGTAACATCTTTGGGTTTTCTGACTCTATCACTTCTAGTCACAGTAAAAAAACCCAGTGAATGAGACCCTCTTCCATGAGTGAGAATCACAGTCCTCATGGGCCAATGTTTCCCAGACCAGCTCTCCTAGGCTGCATGAGAGGCTGGCGAAGCCAACAGAGAGTTAAACTGCTTTTTGCCCTCCCATTTAACTAGTCTTTTGTTGTTGTGCTTTTTTGTTTAAAAAACAAAGTATGTGCTTAAGGAAAATAAATTCAAATAATGCCAAAAGGGAGAAGATGAAAAGCAAAGTTTTCCTTCTCCTCCTCCTCTTCCCTAACTCACCCACTTCCTTCTACCACCAATCTTCCAAGAGGAAGTCCAGAATTTTCCTAAACATATGTGCAAGCATATGGAAAATGTGTACGTGTATGTAATTTATTTCCTTTTTAAAGAATGGGATCCTACTTTGCATACCATCAAGAACCATGCTTTTGTCACTTTCACACGTATTTTGGACTTCCTTTCATACTAGTTCATTCACATCCTCCTTATTTGTAAGAGCTGTATGTGGACGTACACAGATGTACCATAGTTTTAAAATATTGATAACTGCTGCAATGAACAAATGCTTACATGCTCTGTGCACTTGTGAGACTACACCTCTAAGGTAAGTTCTTCAACGTGAAGTTGATAGATGGTTGGATTTATACAATTTTAGTTTATACAGATAATCACAAACTTTTGGACACATTTTCACTTCTACCAACGGTACCACGAAGTGCCTGAACACCACATTCTAAAAGTTCAAAAGCCACATGTTCTCACGCACATGTGGGAGCTAACAAATGCTGTTGTCATCAAAGTAAAAAGTAGGACAGAGGCTACTAGAGGCTGGGAAGGGTGGGAGGAGGGGAAGACAGGGAGAGATTTGTTAAAGGGGACAAAATTACAGCTAGATAGGAGGAATAAGTTCTAGAGTTCTACACCCTTGCAGGATGACTGTAGTTAACAATAATATATAGTTTCAGATAGCTAGAAGGAAGATGTTGAATGTCCTCAACACAAAGAAATGATAGATGTTTGAGACGATGTATATGCTGATTTACCCGATCTAATTACTATACATTGTGTGTATCATAACATCACTAAGTGCCCATTTTATGTCTATTAAAAAATTTAAAAATTAAGTGAAATTATTCAATGATATACAAAAAGAGAATTACATAATTCTCATATGTGAGAGTTACATTTAAGATATAGAAGATGAGAATTACATAAAGAATATGAAAATTATATTGTAATAAATATGACGCCTAACTCTAAGAGAAAAATAGGCTAGCCTTTGTTTGTTCTTCGCATCTGGGAGAGTTAAAAGTCCAAAACCTAAAACATGAATAGAGTGGCTGAAGGAGCGATGGAGACGGAGGCCTGTGATTGGAAGATCTATCTCCATTTTCATGGAACTCGGAAGATTCTCTCCTTCACCTTCTCCAGGGAGGCCAGCAAGCATGGGAGCAGCCACACACTGGTCTTGGTCTTCATCAGGAGCACTGACATGTGGAATCCCATAGAAACTTCAAAACACGAGGGCACTCAGCCAAGGCAAGATGCCACTGAGAGACTTTTCTTGAATAGAGGCTAGCCTCTGGGGCTGGCTGTGACCCCATGAGACATGAAAATATGAAATACCAAAAACCCCAAAGTCCATGGAAGCTGCTACTGGGGCTGATGCCTCTGGGTACAGGGCCAGACAGAAAGCTGTCTTCCTGTGTCCATGCACTGAGGAACTGTGCGGTTTTGCTGGAATGGCTGGCCATCCATCCTCAGTACTGCCAAATGGTCACAGTCTGTGACCCACCCTTAGGTTTCTCCCACTACAGACTTCTCCACTTCCTGGGTCTCCTGGATGAGAAGAGCTATGTCCAATATGGCTTGAAAAGATATATGGCAAAGGGGAGCAATGTTGTATTCACGCTTAATGAACAAAAAGTCATGACCACGCCCAGCAATTACGTTTTTCAAGCTACTTTCTCCTTCTCTCTCTCCCCTTCTTCCTCTTCCTCTCTCTCTTTCATTTTAATACCATCATTGGCATGTGTTTGGGTTTTAGGGCAGATCAATCAGCCATTTCTCCTTCCAACAGTACAAATATGTATTTAGCTCTTTCCTTTTTTGTTTCCTGAGGTTTAATAGTAAAACTAATTTCTTCTTGAAACTTTCTGTTCAGCTTCTCAAAGTCGGATAATTTGTAACAGGTGAAGGAAACACTCAGGCAAATTCTATCATGGTCTTTTCTTTTGCAGAATAGCCCCTATTCCTCCCCCATGAGCATACCAAGCATCCTGACTTCTGGCCCCAGGGAAGCTTTTCTCATGAATTTCCCACACAGGTATCTCATAAGGTCTCACCTGAAACTTGGGACATGTCTTGACCCTCATCAGCATCCATTGTCCTCAGGTTATCTGAGAAAGAGAGGAAGGGATTTTAGTTAAAAGCAAAAACACTAATAAGATATGAGAAAGAGAGAGAGAAAGAACCCCTATGCTATTTAACAACAAGGTTATCTAGCAAGAATAATGCATTTTTCTTCCTCACATACTTGCCAGAGTATCAGACTGGCACAGACCTTGATCCTTTTAAAAACAGCATTACAAAGATTTATAAAAATATCATTACAAGCACAGGAGGACCAAATTTGTTATTTATTGTTAATTTCCTACTGCATAATAACCCAAAATGCAAACTGACTGCAACAAAATTAAGCAGAAAATTAAATGGCCCTGGGTCATTGTAGGCACAGAATTCATTCTCTTGGCTGATCCATAGTTATGTTCTTTCTAATTTACTGAGCATGCATCGATGAACCTTGAGTCAGCTTGGTGACACGCGTACAATCAGCAATCAAAAAACGAAGCAATTTGCTGAAGAATGTCTCATTTACCCAGGCAGGGCTGCATATCTGAGCAGCAACTGCACTACCTCCATCAATAATGAATACACCTCCAGCCTGGCAGATGGGCAATGCGGGCGCTCCTGTCTTTGTCCCTCAATCTTTCTGGGCCCTTGCCTCAGCCTTCACCAGCACTCTTACACGGGGAGAAGTGAAGCTCACTACGGCAGCAAAACGAGCCCAGGAGAGGGCCCAAGCCTTCCTGTTTTGCTGACAGATGGCTGACTTCTCAGATTGGTTTAAATTAAAAAAACAAAAACAAAAACAAAAAAAAACTGGAAGATGCTGTCCTTCGGTGGTCACAGTGAATGTTCCACAAAGTACACTACGAGCCATAGACACCAGGGAGAGAGCCCCAGCGTCAGTGGAGTAGAAACAAAAAGGTGTGCTGTGTGTTTCGCACTTGGGGTCCTGGCCTACCACGCAGCAGTCTCAGGTGTCCCAAAGTGGATGACAGCTGGCACCTCCATGGATAAGAAAGCTGTGGCCAGCAGAAGGTGACCTCAAGGAAATCTGCTCATTTATGCTCTGGTAAATGATTTTCAGAAGAGCTCCTTTGCTAACCGGAAAACTGAGTCTATTTGTTGACTTTAAACCAGGTTGTTACCCAGTCCCCCTATTTTTTCTTGGCCACCTCTATCTCTTTGGTTCAGATGTGTGGATCTGAGCTGAGGCCTCGTTTCAGCACGGACCTGAAAACTGATGTATGATTCAGGGATCTTACCCACTCAGTTAGGCTGAAAACTGCGTGGGTAGAAGTGTTATACATAATACATCTATCACTCCACATATCTTTAATACCTTTTATGGTACCTATGGAATATGTATTTTCAATTTCAGGAACATCAGTATTAGTCATGGTGAGGATATACATGAGAGTCACTTTTTCTGGATGGGAGGGTTTTTATCTATTTCTAAAAGTGGCATGAATTTTCAAGGTGGGTGTGTGGCTTAGGAGTACAGCCAGTGGCCACCGTACAGAAAATGTGTTTCAGAAACTAGGGTAAGCATCCTGCAGCACACGGAAGCCAAACACACTAGCCCAGACACAAGCATGTGACCAGCACTACCAAAAAAGCAATACATCAAGAGTCTCAGATACCTTTACTGTTAAAAAGGGGAAAAGCCATGATTCTTCTGAAACTGTCAAAACAATGATAAAGAAACAAGACAGACCCAAATGAGAAAAATCTTTCTAATCACCGTGCCGCACTAGTATAAGAAGTTAGAACTTAGTGCTTTAGTTTTCTGAAGACATGTATGGTATTTTAATGTGGCCTATCACACACCAGGTCTTAAATATCTTTGTATTGATTGGTGAAGCATGCAGAACTTAAATCTTATCACAGCAACTATACCAACACGAAATTTTGAGAATGGTGACTTTAAACTCTTTGCTACATAAACGATATTATTTTTTACAACCTTTTTTAAAGGCAAGAAAATGCTCATAATTTCTACCACTTAGGATTACTAATTTTTTTTCTGTATATGTATTTATCTGCATTTTACAAAAAGAGGACACTAAACAGATTACAAATATACTGCTTTAAATTATTTTTTAATTTAATACTACACATATCTTTTTATTTAACAAATATACATCACCATCATCATTTTATTGGCTACACGCTACTCAACTCATTTATACAACCAATGCCCTATTGTTGCATACTCGTTATTTTCAATTAAAATAAAAAAAAAATCTTTCCTAAGGCACAGTCAAGGCTCTTCCACCTAAGCACCACGGGCAAACACCCTTCTGGTAGTAGAATGTGGCCTGAGCCCCTGGGTTTCCTGCATGGAGACAGAGGTGATAGATGCTGAGTCCTCTGGACACACTGATCCTTGCAGGGGGTGAGATGTGAGAACGGTTCAAGCAGGAATCCTGACAAACTGCCCTCGGCTGGTCCCCAGATCAAGCTCTGCTCTGTAGGAACCTCCTTCCTTCTGTAGTCATTTGCAAATAGTCCAGGCACCAATCTCCTGGAGGGAGCTAAGGGTGGGCAGCAGATCACACCACAGGGAGCATCTTCCTGGGGCAAGTTCAGTGTCAGCAGCCAAGTCTGCAGGAGCCAGAGAGCTCTGCATTTCCGCACATGGGCCTGCTGGGTGGGCATTTCCACTCGATGCCCTATCCCCACCTCCTGCCCCAGCATGGAGACCTGTGTTTCACAAACCACCTCACTTCCAAGTTCATACACGATTTCAACCACACTGCTTCTGACGGCAAAGGGCTTCATGGGCTTGGGAGTACAGTTGCTTGGGGGCTGGTGCTTAGGGGGTCTCTTTGCTTGGGGTGATGTTCACCAAAATTCTGAATGATTTCTGAATAAGGGGCCTCAAGGTTTCAGTCTGCACTGGGCCCTGTGAATTCTGTGGCCTGACTCATCTGACATCATAAGGGATGAGCTGATGAGCTCCTGAAAACTTTCCCAGGCTCCAAACTTGCATCTTTTAAGATGAAAAAGCAGTGACTTTTTCGTAAAAGTGGCTTTGCTTCCAGAGAAAGGCTAAAGGAATAATCAAATAATGGAAAAGTGTTTGAGGCAAAGAAAACGTGGCCTCTTCCAAGACAACTTACAAAGGGCAGCCTGAGGTGTCCAGAAGGGCACTTAAGTCCCACCACGCTCCCTTGTCAGCACATGCAGCAGTTTGGCTGCGTAATCTACAAGCTCTTAGGCAGCCCTTCTTCTCCCACACGGAAGAAACACAGTGTAAAGTAAAACATGGAATTTAAGCTTGATGTGGCCTCCGCTTAAAAGGCGCTTACCTTCAGTAAAAGGAGTTAATCACAAAAGCAAACTAATGGCGTGGTTTCACAAACCTTCACCTAAATGAAAAACCCAAATCAGTAGGTCTGTAAAGGGAGACGCCAGAAGGAATAATTATTTCACGGAAACAGACCACAGTTTTCTACTTTGCCTGGGAAATCCAAACAATTTCAGGCAAGAGCTAAAAGAATCCATAGTAGAAAATACAACAGTATCAGCAAACTACCTTTCGCCTGCACAGTTCTTACGAACATGAATGCTATTACTGTTTTCTAGGAGCATGCAGTTCTGAATCATGCACCAGGGGAAACAGATACAGAGATAAGTGTAGGACCAACGTGACAGAAGCTGTCCATGGCTGCGCCTCCAGGAGCGAGGAGCGGACTCCGCAGTCACAAGCCACCAGGCACCCCCCACTCCCACTCCAGATTGTCCACTGACTTGGGAGGTCCGAATCTCTGTCTTCCCTCTGTCTTCTGCATCTCTCCCTCCTCCTCTGCCCACCTCCCATCTCCTTCTCTTTCTCTCCCACCCTCCCTCTCTCTGTCTCCCTTTGTCTGAGAGAGACTGTCTCTCTCTCAGTCTCTCTCTGTCCTTCTCCTTTCTCTCCCTCTTTCTGACCAAATAGGACTTACTTTCCTAGTTTCAGTTGGAAACTGATAGCACACCCATAACTTTACAAAGGAGGAGCAGAAGCCGGACTAGGAGCCAGGCAAGCCAACAGCACAGGGGCCTCTTCCAGGCCACGTGGGTGGTGCTGACTTACAGCCCCCGCTGACCCTGCGAGGTGTCCCTGGGGGACCTCAGGTCTGTCCTGAAACAGCTTCCTGGACCCTGCCTTTCCTCCTTCCACACTGAGGCGGGACTGGGACCTGGCTGTGTCCTGGGGAGAAACATCCAGCAGCCCTGGGCAGTTGCTGCTTCCAGGTGAGGAGCCTTGGCAAGCCTGGCTGGGAAGTGAACTCACTCTAACTGCAGCACCCCAGAGGAGAGTCTGGCCAGAGCTCTGCTGAGCCTGCTGGGGCCCCTGCAGGGGGATCTCAGGCCTCTGAGCTGCCTCCAGCTCCTCTCTGCTTTCTGACAGTGAATACCTCTCTTCACAGTGACACAAGGAGTCTCTTCCATAATTCTGACAAGCCGAGTCTAGACAAATGAGGTAAAAATGAAAATGCACATGCCTGTCAAGAATCACAACTGTACTGCTTTCCTAACAGCCCAAATTTACGGTTGTTAAAAAACCACTAAGTACACAGCATCCCAAAGTTACCCTACAAAGTACTTAGGGTCACTCAAAATTAACCTATCTGTTGGTAGCCCACAATACTTTTTCAAGCTTTAAAATAATTGTAGTTCTCTGAAACTTAAACAGCTGCCTTACAGTGTCTTTCTGTTAATTTGTTTTTAAGCAAATGCCTTCCTTCTCCACTGGTACTCCATGGAGGATTCTTTGTCCAGTGATATTTTGTAACATTTATTGAATACTTTCAGTACCCCAGGAAAAGGCTGCAAAGCAAAGGATACTGGTACCCACTGGCTTTAGCCAAGCAACCTACTAAGTTTCTTTTAAGAGGCAAATGGTTAAACCTCCTAAGACCGTGGGCATTGTCTGTCTTGTCCATCTGCTTATTTGAACACCTGGCATAGTGTTCAATGTTGAGCTGAAATTCACCACCTATTTGCTAAACAGGTAAATGTGTCTTTAACTCTCCCAATTAAACCCAAGGCATCTGCATTACCACCTCCATTTTATAGATAAGAGAACCAAGGCTAAGAGAAATAGCTTTCCCCGGGTCATATAGCTAATCAACAACAGGGCTGAGGCTCGAACCAGTTCAGTCTGACGGTGATGCTTCTTTCTCTCTAGCAGTCTTGCCCATCAGAATGTCACAGCCCAGTGCAGGGGTCACGCACTCCAAACGTACGACAGATGAGGATGGATGCTACTTATATATTGCCACAAACCAAACATGATCTTTGTAATACTCTGCAATAAAGGCAAACTGTATCACAAAACGTCTATAGCACAGTAAAGTTCTGGTTATTTGACCAAAGGTATGCTATTTACTTTTTCCTCCCTGACAAGTGAAGCTACACTAGAGTTGCATTTCGGGTTATTTCCTTAAATACTCAATGATGCTTATATTGAATATTGAAAGGAGTAGATACATGGGGGGACATGGACCAAGCCTTTAATTTATTTAAAATGCCTTAGGTCAGAGACCTCTTTAATAAAACCCATTATTCCTGCTAAGAGACAAGTCCTTTCATCTTCAGACTGGTAGATTTTACTTTTGCAAATCTATTGTTATCACTGTGAATTACACTGTATTTTAAAAAAGGAAAGGCCTCAAGAGAAAGCTAAGGCAATATGCAAAGTCTTTGTATCTACTCAAAGAGACCTTATAGGTTTTCGTAACAATTTGACAAAACAGGTTGAGAGAGCATAAAAACTTCTGAGCACTCTTATTTCATTTCTGATTCTTTTCATTTTTCAAAAATTAGCTGCCAATCTACACATTTTCATGATTATTCCACAGAGTATTGCTGGTACAAATAACAATGAAAAACAAGATTTAAACAGGAAAGCAGGAATCCAATTTGGCTTTCACACCGCCCTCCCCCGACATTTAACTGAGCCACAGAAAACTCCTCCTGCGGTTTGTTCCACTGTGAACCTTCTTTTTGAGGGCAAATCAGCTCAGATGTGTGATTCTGTCCTAGCATTTTTTTTTATTTTATTTTTACAGCCAGGAACTGATATGCAAAAGAGGAAGGGTCAAAGGGAACTAAGGAAACCTTTTAAAATACAGTTAAAAACTATGCTGTTTGAACGTTTTCTTTGTAAAGAGGTATTTGATACAGAGGGAAAAGAAACGGAACATTTTAAATGCCACAGTGGAGCCACCTGCCTCAAAGTGAAGTATAAGAAAAGACGGCAGATGCTGTATTCGAAAGGTTGTCTTAAAAATAGAGAAAGTAGAGTAGGAGACAGTCCTCTGTGTTTACGTTTGTTGCTGCAAGAAGCCCAGAGTTGGAGTTGGAGCTGGCCATGGCTGTGTGCCCTGACGTTACAGGTGTATTGCATTGTTTCTGGCCTCTCAGAGGGGTGCACGGTTCACATGGGGAGGAGAGACTTCCTGTCTATACTACTGTACCATCTGCTCTCAAACTACTACCACTGTTTATTGAGCAGCCATGGGAGAGGCATACACAGTCAAAACTCTCAGAGGCTTTTACAGGCCCTCTCCTGATTTTGGCCATTGACATCAGCTACTTACTAGGTAGCTTCCTCAAATATAAATGGCGTTTCACACTTCATCACTTAAGTTAAAAAAATCTAAATTTAGAATCATTTTCTTCTGCCCTCTTACCGATTTCAGAAGACTTTCATGCATGCCCAGGAGCCGTGCGACAAAATGAAATGCAATGAAAATAAAACCTACAGCTTTACAAATCACAGAAACTGCCTCCAAAGAAGGGTCTACACAGATATGCCCAAGGTCTTGACTTTTTAAAATTTGTATTACAAAGATAAAATATAGAGGAGGGGACCAGGGACAGTTGTGTTTCCATTATTTTCAAAGTTTTTTTTTTTTTTTTCATTTTTTTAAAGAGCGATAAACACAAAGTTCTAACAGTAAGTTTTTCCCTCAGCAAGGCCATATGGTGTCACAAAGAATGCTTTATTGTGCCTTCCGAGCAGTGAAATTATCTTGATGTACCAGTAAATCATTTCAGGTGGATATTTTAAAACTCAAACTTAACACTACACATAATAGAGAATTCCACTTGCATACCCATAACATCTCAAACAAGGTACCTGTAACACAGAAGTTTCTGCAAAGCCATCTGACTTCTATTAAAATAAGTGTTTGTGTGAGCTTATTTGGGAAGAGGTATATTTTATTTAGTCCCAAAGAATTAAAATTATTTAGATCTTCACAGGAATATCCCATTGTTTATGTACCCACACGTGCATATTTATTAAAAATAACTGGGAGTCATTACTGATTGATTTGCCTACTGAGGACACATTCCTAGGTACTATAAATTTTCTTCATTTTATGTAGATATAGTATCTACCATTAGCAGGTGGTAAGACAAGATCTACAAAATCTACATATAAGCAGAGAGAACGTGTGTTCTAGAGTAAACACATTAGGGGTTTATTGTTGCACATGTACCCATTTACCTCTTACTCCATGTGATATAAAAAGCTGCTTTGGCCTGACCTGTAGACAATCATGGGTATGTAGTCTTTGCTCCAGAGAGCATGAAAAGGTGCAGACATCCTGATTGCTGTTTTCAAACTAGGGGAGACCACTTGGTTTTCAGACTAATCAAAAATTTCCCCAAAGGGACTGAATTCTGAGCTCTGTTGTGTTTAAGACATCCATAAAATTATCAGCTATCATCAATTAAAATGAGATTTTTTTCAGAACTATAAGAAATTAATCTATGCTCACATTTTTGAACTATGCTCATAGTATATGAGATCACACACTGAAGTTGATTCAAAAATCTCCTTAAATTGCAGTTTGATCTCTTAGTAGCATTACCTTGGAAATTCACCTTGCTTGCCCCACCTTCAAGGGGTTCCACTGAAGTCAGAATAAGCCGTGTCTCAAAGGGCAAAGGGAAGAAGAAATGCATCAATGACTTAGTATCAATAACTGCTACTGACAACAATCAAATAATGACAGAAAAGAACATCACTTGAGAATCTAACTTGGTGTTTCAGCTGGATCCTGTTTGCAAGAAGGTTCTAGATTCCTATTTTGTTCTGCAATAGGGAGCTCAGTGCTGGCTGTCCTGTAACCCAAATCTGGAAGAGTTCTTAAGACACTCATGCCAAAACCACGCATCGCATTGCAAGGTCCATGCAAAACATGGGTATCAGGCCCCACCAGGATAGTTTAGACCCCATTGTATAGCCCTTAACTTGTGGCCTATGACCTCTTCATGCACAGCCAGGGAGAGGGGGATCATCAGTAAAACCTCAGAGAGTTTACAACTTCCTCATTTGCAGGACTACAAAAATGGGCATGTCTTTATTTATAACCTGACGGAAAGTGCTCCTGTCCATCACAGAGGAAAATGTGGGAAAACTCATTTTAAACACTGCAGTCTGATTTTTCTGCAGCCCTGAGGTACGATGCAATTATTTATTTTTAATGTTTTACTTTATACGTTCCTTTTTAGCAAATTTCATTTCTTTAACAAAAACATCGTCTGCTCTTAAAGTGAAAATTCTTTCAATTCAAGGAAACATACACAACCTCATACTAGAGTGGGAAAACACTGGTACTGCAAAAGTACTCACAATTTCCTACCAGTTTTTAAAATGATAATTAATTGCCTTATCTTTAACAACCCGAGATAATTAGCAGTATGGTGTTAATTTAATAAAACAGAATATACAATTTATCAATATGTTTTTGCAGTGAGTCTCTTTGAATATCAGCTTAATTTTCTGCCCTACACATAACTCAGCACAAAGGAGGAGGAAAAGGTCACTTTTTCAGGTTAAAAGTGGGGCTCACACTAGGGGGTTGCTGGCTCTCTATACTTTCCATTAACAGCACTGGAACACACTTCAGAGTGCCTGAGAAGTAAGCTTACAAAAGGTCAATTCCTCATTCTCATTTCTCCTAAAGACTCTAAATTAAACATTTTTCCCATTAGGTGTAGGGAAGTATCTTATGTGGAATTTTACTTGTTCTAGGTTTGCCAGCGAAAATCTGGTATAACAACAAAAGTTTATCAAAAACTGATCAATCAATATTCATAGCGGAACTATTAGCTTCAGAACAGGACTCTAAACCATACTGCTCATTTTCAAATAGATTCAAACTAACAGAAAATGCTTTAAAGGTGTAGGTTTTAGTGTGTGATCTCAAAAATGGAGCATAAAAATCTAGTTTCTAAGTCATTCAAAAACACTTTATGCAGTTCTTGATGTTTCAACAGTCTGTACAAAACCCCCACCAATTATAGAAAGAAAATGGGGAGGGAAAGGAAGGGAAGGACAGGAAAGGAAAGGGAAGTGGAGGGAAGCGAGAGAGAGAGAAGAGAAAGGAGGAAAAAAGGAAGAAAAGAAGACCAGACGGACAAGCCCATGCTGGGTCCCTTCTTCCTACTGCACTGCTCTCTCCAGAAACCCAACCTCCTACACCCTTTAGACAACTTTCGGTGTGAAATGGCGGGAAGAGAGTCAGATTTCCTTTAGCAGTGAGCTGATTGCAGAAGAAAAATGAATCACTGCACACTTGAGTGAGAAAATATGAAGAAAGCACTTTTCCACTAATTAGGACCTATTTCCAGCCATTCGTTAAGCCGTGGCCCTGCGCCATGAGCTATCAGAGGTGGAGCCTGGGGCCATCCGAAAGCAGAGCATGCAGAGGGAGCATTAATGATACTCTCCATCACCCAAGACAGGCGGCCCGCACAGGGGTATGGGGAGCTGCTTTGGGCTCAGACCACCCACTGCGGAAACACCAACAGGGAAGAGGGGAGAACACTGGCTATTCCAATCCAGGCAAGCACACAAAGAAACCATGTGGCACTCACCAACCAACCAAGGCCCGGCCAAGGCCAAGTGAGAGCTGCCTTTTCCACCCAAATCCAGACTTTGAGGACCCAGGGCTGCTCGGAGTTCCCCTCAGACTCAGCCACCTGGGAGGGATCTTGGTGCCTGGCTACAGGGCCTCTGTGTCCTCCTCCTGCTCCAAAAGGTTCCACTGCTGCCTTCACACTCCACCAGGGTGCAGAGAAAGGTGGAACCGCTTGCCAAATATGCAAAAAAGGAGGGAAGACCGTTTTCTCTTAGGAAAACACAGACAGGAAGGGAGCCTGTGCTTCCTGCCCTAACCAAAATGAGTTCAGAAATTATGTGGACGTCTGATTTGTCAAGCTTGTGGTGGAAAAGGGCGCTCTTTTAGTCAACAGGAATTGTGAGTTCCCCAAAGGCAGAAATGGCCATGGGAGAAAAGAATTAGGGCCAGGCCTGTTAACAGGCAAGACAAATGGCCCCCATACCTGTGAGCTGCGGTTTGCACCACTTTTAACAGTTTATTAACAGGTGGTTGGCTGAAGACTCCTCTGGCATCTACCTATGTATCACTGTCAAACATGAGAGGGAAAAATCGCCAACTGAAACAGTCCGGCAGTTGCCCCTGGATTAGGTCTCAGTTGCTCTTCCTCCAGGCCTTCTCAGGAGTAACCACCAAGGAGACACCAAAATGGGCAGGCCCGCACTTCACCACTTAAAAACCTTCTGCGAATCTTTTGTTTGCTGTTGTATCTCACTTGTAGTATGCAGCACTTCATAAGGTTTCATAATGTCTTCAAAAATATTTGTTGGAGTATCACCAAACATTTAAAAACTCAAACTAAAGCTACTAAAGTCATGACACTGAAACTTTAAGAACATAAACATATATTCCAGGAGATGTAGAAAGGTAACCTGAGGTCTGAAGTCACTTATTAAACTGCAAAGAAATATAAGAAAGCTCATGGTCTGCATGAAGATACCAGCATGAGTGTTCAGTGAGCACACAGTAAAAACTGTTTTGTTACTACTGATATCCTTTGGTTTTAGGTGCCCTACGTCCCTAATAAAACTTCATTTCTATCTTGTTCCTCATCTGAATTTTAAGTGTGCATGTGTGAGCGACAGTGTGTATAATGCTGATCCTTTGAAACTCTACGTTTCTAAAATCCAGGTCAAAATGTACATGTGCCCTTTTTGAGCAAAATAAAACTGATATGTTTTTAAGATATGAAATAGATTCATATGTCTTCTCTTGTAAGCTTCAAAGGATGGGTCACTTGTTGCTTTTACATCTTGTGTTTTCTCCCATAAAATGGAAGGATTATTCAGCACAAATATGAAATGGAATTGATCTGAAGTCTCCGTCAATATGAACGTAGAGACACCAGACGGAGAACAATGTTCACAGCCAGGGCAGGAGCTGCAGCAAGTCTGCCGCTAGAAGCAGGCTCGGAGTGCCCCAGAGTGCTTGTCAGTCTTAGAAACAGAGGCATCAGAAGGCAAGCGTTTTCAGAGAACACAAAAAGGTTTACCTTCTGTAAGCTGGAGGGAAGCCACTTACATCAATCTCCCTTAGAATATGACAAGAACCAACACTTATATCATGGTGAAATCATTTCACAATTCCAAAGATTAGAGGAGGGAAAAAATGCCACAAAACAGTGCTATCCTTGATGAATTCTTAGTTAATTGCAGTTACATTACATTAATACATAACATTATGCAAACACTCAAAAAATGTTATTTATGCCTAAAATTTACTGTTATATAATATAGGGAAATCCATTTTCTTTTAGTAAAAGGTTAAAAATAAAGGGGGCCTTTAATACTAATTTCATGTCAGTCTGATAAAATTCTTTCACATTGCCCCATGCCTCTCCACGCTATGTGCATGCTTTGTGTACACGCATATGCACATGGAATTTCTTTATTTCATGTATCTGTTAATATATGCATCATCTTGAAGTGTGTGTGTATACGTATATTAATGTATATAGAGTTCTTTCCAATTTCAAAATCTTTGATGTTTATATTGAAAATATGCTACATTAGCCATGCATGAAACACATACATCCAAATCAAGAACAAAAATGTATCCAAACCAAAGAACCACTGTTCTCAAACTCCAAGCCTCCGGTCACACAAGGAAGACAGTGGTCTGTGGCACAACCGGGCTTTAGACCTCTCCGCCAACACATTCACTGCGATCTTAGTTTTTCAACAAGGGAAATGGCTGCAAATGGCCACAGCTGATCTTCTCTTTAGGCGCCTGTATAAAACTCTTCAAAAGGGTCAAATCTAACACATCCACACTTTTATCTGTAGCCCTTGTGGTCTCCTGAAGACCCCGAGGGTGGGCGATTATTGCTATGATGGTTCTGCATTATGGGGATATGTAGTTTTCCAAGAGGTAGCACTCTAATTAGAACACTGATGAATTAAAGTACTGGAGAGTTCCTAAACTCCTTCCTTCAACTCTCACCATGAAACAAAAGGGGAAGAAAACATGACCACTTAGTTCAATAAATGTTCTGGTCATCAGCTCTGGTGGACTGGGAGGCTGAGAAGCACATTTTTTTTTTCATGTAAAAAAGGTATGAAATATCTTCATGGTGAAATTTGAAATCAGGTACATTCAATCAAGCAAGAATGGTGTAGTATTTTCAATGTGACATCATTATTTATATGTATGTGTACACATTACCTCTTTAACATGTTCTGCGTTTTACAAGATGCCAGTTTAAGATGGTGAACCTTCCTGTCATAAATATTTGTCTTGTGTACATTTTAAGCCACAGCCCAAATGATCTGATTTGTCACAGAAACAATTCTTACACATTCTAATATAAATAATACTGAAACTGTTGCTTTTTAAAACCCCATATAAAAGATGAGTACAATAAATCTGGTTGAACAAACATCTTCAAACAAATAAATAAATTCAGGAGGACCCGGGAAATTTTTCTGTGGGTTTCCCTCCCTCCTCATCTCATAACCAAA